GCTGCTTTATGGTAGTGTTGTATATGTGGAAAGCCTAAGCCTCCCGAGTGTGTTGGGGCTTGTAGTAGGAAGAGAGGAATACAGGGTTTTTTATTTCCCCATACAAATGTGGAGAGTATTTTTTGTATCTGTTTGCACAGTGCGGGCTCTAGTGGTAGTGGTGACATCCTAAATATATATAACAATTTCGGTATCAATTTTTAAAGGAGCTAGGGTTTTCTTTTGATACACCAGATGTATTCATAACACAATATTAAATAGGAATGAAATTTAAAATATTAAATAAATGGAAAAACAAATATAAAATAAATTCTCAGTTTTACATGTAATAATGTCTACACACCAAGTGCAATTAAAGAAAACTAACTTTAAATAGATAAATTGAATAATTTTGACACACTAAGTGCCATAAAAGGAACTTACCTCAAAATAGAAGTTGTAAAAAAATTATTACAAGGAGTGAGTTATGGTTTTAAAGATAAGACTTTGCAAACTAGCTCCCCTGCCATCCCATTACACCCTAAATATTGTAAAATATTACCTTTATTGCAGTCTGCTACTGCTGGCTCTGTCCCTGATCTGCCTCGTTGGCTGGCATCTTCAGAAGTGATGATCTCAGCCAATCACAATGATTTCCTATAGGAAAGCATTGGATCGGCTGAGATTGTCAATGAAGCAGATCGGGGCAGAGCCAGCACAAGTCAAACACAGCCCCGGCCAATCAATTGAATCAGTGCATCTCAATGAGGAAAGTTCAGTGTCTGCATGCAGAGGATGGAGACACTGGATGTCAGTGCTGCATACTGTGCAGCAGTGCCCCAAAAAACACCTCCAGTATCCATCTGAGGAGTGGGCAGTGGAGATATTCCGAATCTATAATGTAAACACTGCCTTTTCTCTGAAAAAACAGTGCTTGCTGAGAAAAGCATGCAGGGACTGCTTAAACTCCCCAGAACAAATACAATAAGCTGTAGTTAGCTATTAAAATGGTGCTAATGCCAGTTTTTGTATGATACATTACAAATGGCAATTGTCTGTCTATTAATTCGGTTCATCTGAATTGTGCAAATTTATCTAAACCAAATTTAAAGACAAATTGCCTGGTATTACTTATTGTATTTGTGAATTCTGTTGTATATTTTCAGCACTCGATCCCTAAGTTCCATTGACTCTAGACATACTAAAAGAGGGTCTATATTCAGTCTAATTTTGAGGCTGTATTAGCAAATCTGGACATTGGTAAATCTTAAGAACAATGTCAGGATTTTATAGTCTAAATGTCCCTGGGAGATTCCATATTATTTTCGCTAATGTGGGTTAATTTCTGGACGATTTAAACCAAAAAAATGGCCATTGATGCTAACTATATTCTATTTTTTTGCATTATTCAATAAATCAGAGTTGTTTATAACAGAAGATGAGCTTAAAAAAGTACACGATTTCGAAGAACAATGCATAGAAGAATATTTCAGAGAAAAAGATGACAGATTTAATTCTTCAAATGATGAAAGAATTCGAGTCACTGCAGAAAGGTAAGGAGCACAATTCTGAAAATCGAGATACATTTTTTTTTTAGCCTGGGCTATGTCAAAAATATAAAATGGAGATTTTTTTTATCGCGAATATATATATATATATATATATTTATTTTTTATTTTTATTTTTTTTAATTATTACTTGTGCCATATCATATATGGTCAAAAAGCTAGGATGTAATAGACAAATTGTAAAATATAATCAATTCAATTATTTTCCAGCAGAGCTATTTTGTCCTAACGTTTTCAATTTCGTTGTCAACTCTGAATAACCCCAAAAAGTAAAATGTCCTCTATCTATTTTGTAATATACTGTTAAAATACTTTGGATTGTAAACCTTAACAATGTCTTTCGCCAAACTCCAAATTGTAGAATTTTAAATCCAGATGACAAAATTCAGGCTAAAATAGATCATTTGGAAAAGTACACCTCAACTATTCATACTTTATCTGCGCTATAGTCACATTATCAGTATTTTAGTCTCAGTTTTGCCCTTTGGATTTCAATTTAATTCAATAATAATTAATAACCCTGTAAAATGCATATACTTTTTATAAACATTATTTAAGATGTGTTGCAATTTTTTTTTTTTGTATTAGCCAAACTACCAACATAAAACTTCTAGAAGAACCGTTTTACTTTTTTAAAGGAGCAGGTTATGCTAGTAGATTGTGTGTATGTTCCCCCCAGTCTGGGTAACACTGTTTCAGAGTGGTTTGATCAAAATAGGGTCTCCAAGGCACCCATGGTCCAGACCTCTGCTCACTCATTGGTAAATGATTGACCCAAAACTGGTAATGGCACACAGAGACTAATAGTGCAATAAATACAATAGAATGTAGTGGTTATAGTGATTAGACCTATTTACACATAAAGTATTCATCATTATAAGTCATTGTGAAGTTTAAAAAATGTTATTAATTTACAGAGTGGAAAACATGTCTATGCGCCTTGAAGAAGTGAATGAACGAGAACATATCATGAAGGCTTCCCTTCAAACTGTAGATATCAGACTGGCTCAGCTGGAGGAAATGCTAGGGAGAATGGCTACTGCAATGGAACGACTTGCTGGGGTTGAAAGGGGAGAAACAAATAAAGTAAGATCTAGAACCTCTTCAGATTGCACAGATGCAGCATACATAATAAGGCAGAGCAGCTTTAACAGTCAAGAAGGAAATGCCTATAAACTCCATGAGATTGATCCTGTAGGAGAAGAACCTTTGTCTCCTACCTCTCCTACCCTTATCCCGCGAATGAGAAGTCAATCTTTCTATTCAACAAACTTTAGGGACAAAGGGGGTTTTGAAAAATTTGAAGGTTTTTTTAAGGAAAGAACATTAAGTCTTCACAGAGCTACAAGCTCACACTCCATATCAAAAGATACAAAGCCTCCTCCTTCTCCAATAAACTCTTTGTCTGTTGCCCCAGAATCAAGAAGGCCTTCTTCTTGTATAGACATATATGTTTCAGCTATGGATGAAGGACATTTTGCTTTGGAACCTGGAGAAAGCTCAATGAATGTAGCCAGTGCTGATCACATGACAGATTTAAATTCAGCAGGTCGAGCGTGCGGCTCTGCAACACACTGTTCTAGAAGTTGTAGTAGGAATCCTAGTTATGAGGAAGGCACATCTATGGATCAATGTGTATATCCTCCAGAAGTCACCAATGTTCCAAACAGCCAAAATCCTTGGGACACAGATCCACCCACATACCACACACTTGAGCGTTCCAAAAGTAGTCGTTTGTTGGCAACTGCACCTTTTATCCTGGAGGAAACACCAATAGTAAAATCGCAGAGTTTTATGTTTTCTCCTTCTAGAAGTTACTATAACAATCTTGGAGTGCCTGTAAAGACTGCAGAATATACAAGTATCACAGATTGTATTGATACAAGATGTGTCAGCAGTTCTCCACAAGCCACTGCGGAACGGTCTACATCTCCAGGATGTGTTAGAGAAAAAGTAGAAGACCTTAGTTCTTGCCATCCAGAAAGAGAGGCAGAACTTAGTCACCCAAGCTCAGACAATGAGGATAATGAAGCAGAATTGAAAAACAAGTGTACAACATCCACTTTAACTGCACATGAAAGCTCCAGAACTCTCTCCAACAATATAGCATTCCCTAAAATAGAACGAGCAAATAGTTACTCAGCAGAGGAGCCTAGTTCAATGTATGCCAACACAAAGAAGAGCTATTCAATAAGTGAAAAACTTGATAGGCAGCGTACCACAACAGGCCTTAGAAATCCATTCCAAAGGAGCAAGTCATCTAGACCAGAGAGTCGAGGAGATAATCTGTCCATGAGAAGACTTTCGAGAACAGCAGCCTTCCGTAGTTTTGAGAGCAAGCATAGTTAGATCTAGAGCATTTTTCTAAATTAAATAAGGGAGGGGTTATTAAATTATTCAAACACATTTTCTATCTCAGTAGAATGTCCTCACAACACCGTGGAACATCAGTAAGGGCCAAAGCTGACACACGTCTAACAATCATTTTGTGATATCTGTTAATCAATTAGCTTGCTGAATACTCAGTAAGGCGGTATTTGTAGTTAATGCTTCAGGATAATGATTTAATGTGATTGATTTACTGCACAGTTGAATTAAAAAAAATATATATATATATATATGCATCTCCCCAAAGTCTTTATTAAATTACCTAGTTTTGAAAAGTATAGTTCGTTGGATTGCATTGTTTGGATTTCCTAGAAACTGTTACCAAGTTTGCACAGAGAGAATTTTATAATGTAACACAAAAATGTGCATTGGTTTTCTTGTGTTAACTCTCTCATATTAAAGCCTCTCTTGTCCTGTTAAATGTATTGTAATGTAACAGGAGCTCTCAGGTCCTGAAATTGGCTATGCCAAGAGCAACTTTAGGAATCATGTCCAGCGGACAAACACAACATAATTATGACATGATTATTGACCTGTCTATTCTGTATTGACTCCCAGTGCCACACTACGGTTCATCCTTTGTTCTTTTTTTGAGGGTCTGGTGGCAGAAGGAAAAAAAATGCTTTTGCATCACCAAGTACAGATGAAAGAATTTCTCCAGAAAGTACATTCAAATAAACTTTTTGTCTTTCATGGGCATTCTAGCACAGTTGAGCAAGCTCAGGATGAATGTAATTTAATGGTTTAATGTTATATATATTTATTTTTTTACCATGTGTTGTTAATGCAGTTGCCTCAGTAAATGCATGCTTTAAAAAGTTAAGCTAACATGCTGATGATATGCTTGTGAGAGGAGTGTGTAATGAATACAATCACTGTGTTACTGCAAACACTGCCAGAGTTTTCCTACTGTTCTGTTGTTACCAGCACATTGAACTCATTACAGTACTAATGATCAAGTTGATATTTCCTTTTCATTTGTAATACAATAATAATAGAGTAAACTTTTTTTAACAGCACTGTAATTGATGTTACCCTATGTAAATATATAATGTATTATTTGTTGAAATAACTTATTGTGTATGATGTCATGGGAAAAGGAAAAGATAAAATATGGCTTACTGGATATTCCTCTTGTAAAATACAGTTATATTTTAATTGGTAATAAAAATAGGCTGTGTTGAATTAAATGCCAACAAAAATGAGAACAGATTGCTGGATAATGCATCCACAAAATAAAATGGTGGAGCATGCAAAGAAAAATAATTTACCTAATACTAATACTGGAAAAAGGAATTTCTCAAAAGTAATCCATAGAAATAAAGAATAATAATATAGTGTAAATCTGTGTGCATAAAATATATACATATGTGATTTCCAAATGGCAACTCACATAATATAGAGCGAAATAATAGTGGTGAAGCAATTGGTGTCTTAAAAGTTCCACACAACCTTCTGGATGAATGATATTGATGGATGGTAACCTCAAAAATAAATTAAAAGATCAGCCACTAAAGGTGCTTCCTGGTCTTTCACGCAGATTAACTTCACAAAACGACGTGTACTTTTCATGAAGACATGTAGTTTCTTAAAAATCCCCATATGAAAGCATTAATTCAATGCTTTCTATGGGAGAAGCCTAATGTAAGTGTGTCGCTCGCCGTGCCTGTCCACTTGGTCGTACCCCCCCTCCTCCCATTCTGAGGTTGGAGGAGGCGGAGAGCGACCTAGCGCTGAGGGACCTACAGTGTTAAGAAAACAGTTCCTTTAAGGACAAAATAGCCAAAGTGCAAAAAGTCTCTAAACCAGCAATGCTTTCAATTTGGGCCTTTCAATCAAAGAGGTGTAATTCACTTTGACTTCTCATTTTAATAAATAGTTAGTCAAACAATGTCTTCCCAGCAAAGTGTATCACTTCATTTAAATACATTGGTGGAAAGAAGCAATGGAGACGAGATGATGGTGGTTTAGTTACATTATATGATCATACATTGCATAAGCCTGCCACAACGTCAATGTACACCATCTTTGGCAGGTCCTATCCTTACAACCAACTGTTTACTAAATGAGCACCAAAGTAACTGTTTAGTAGATAAGGGAGTGCACTGGATTTTCATTTTTATTGTACTTGTTGGCCCCCAGCAGCACTGCATTTAAGCATGTTCAGGTGAGTGCAGCCAGCCCCTTGTTTTTCCATATATATATATATATTTAGGAGTCTAGCCAGCTCCTTGGTTTTGCACCCCTTCCTGTCACAGGTGCCTCATCTCAGACTCTATTTAGCCTTGTACTGCAGAGAACTCGAGATGGAAGGATTTCCCCAAGTGAGTAGCTCATTTAGTTGACCATTTTAAAGGGTCAAATATAAGGCTTGATTTTCCGTTTTTTCACATTGAAATTTGCCAGATTGGTTATGTTGACTTTAAGAGCATATGGTATCACAGGAATGAGAATTATCCCCATGATGGCATACCATTTGCAAAAGTAGACATCCCAAGGTATTACTAATGGGGTATGTTCAGTCTTTTTTAGTCACTTAGTAGCCACTTAGTCACAAACACTGGCCAAAGTTAGCATTCAAAATAGTTTTTTTGCATTTTTAACACACAAACAATTATAAATGCTAACTTTGGCCAGTGTTTGTGACTAAGAGGCTACTATAAAAGACTTGACATACCCCTTATTGAATACTCTGAGTTGTCTACTTAAAAAAAAAAATGAAAAATTATATATATATATATATATATATATATATTAATATATACACACACACACACACGTGAGGTGTGATTCAGCAATTTATGACAGATAACTGTTACAATGTCACTATGGATACATTTTAAAAATATCTATTTTGAAACAGCATGTCCTACTTGTACTTATAGCCCTGTAACTTGCAAAAAAAAAAAAAAGCTAAGAACATGTTAACATTTCTAAACTCAGGACAACATTAAGAAACTATTTAGCATGGGTGTTTTTTGGCAGTTGTAGAACCATAACAGATTTAAAGTCAAAGTAAGAAAAAGTTTTTTTTTATTTTTATATTTTCATCATATTTTATAAAATAATGGCATGTTTAGAAAGATCATTTAATAACGAGAAAAACAGTATAATATGTGTGGGTACAGTAAATGAGTAAGAGGAAAATTACAGCCTAAACACAAACACCGCAGAAATGTAAAAACAGCCCTGGTCCTTGACAGGTGCATAGTCACCATATGGACAAGCGGAATCAGGACAAAAACCCCAGGTACCTAACCCAATAAAACACGGACACTAGGATATATGGGTCAAAATTGTCTACAGCTTTTATTAAATAGTAAAAAAAATGTACATAAAAAAGGTAATTGCCCCACACCCTGCCATCACATCCGTATCCTTCAGTTAGATATAAACCCTACCAGATTCTGAGCCACCGACAGGGCTCGAAACCTACCAAACTTACAAAGAACCATCTTCACCATTTCCATAACCATCCTAATGGGGAGCCTGTTTCCTATTCCTCAGCTCTCTATCCCACTGTTGTGAAAGAATGGGACAACCCAACCTTATAATAACCCAGGGAGGGAGGGAGTGACAAACTCAGTCAGGCAGGCAAGTTAAAAAGCAAGCCCCGGGCAGGGGTGGCGGGGCAGGTCACCTGGAGGAGATGGCAAGAGCCGTAGTCCCAGGGGAAGAGGTATGATGATTCTCGGCGTGAGGCCTTGGTGTCAGGTAGGCGGGACTGGAGGGTGGCTCGGGAACAGTACACCCTGCAAAGGACTTCTCCTCATTTCAGGTCTCGGAGCCTTTCTTTTTCTGGGCGTTCTCGGCATCAGGGGGGAGGGGGGGGGTTCCCCATTTAAGACCAAACACCCTCACGGACACCATCCTCCGAGCATCAGGAACCCTAAGTCCAACTTGAACCAAAATGCCAGCGCCACCATATTCCTATCAACCACCGCCGGGGAAGCTCCCCCTGCTAATAACCTGAATATAAACCAAAGTAAGGCATTGAGTTGCGATTCCCCCACCAGGAGTGTTCCGGCATCTCCTTCCCCCTGCATCATAAGAACTGCCACTCCCCGATCCTGTAGCAGACCTACCGCCCGACCGGTGCCTCCCCTGCCGCCAAGTCTTAGGGACCCCGGTGGTCCCTCCCTACGAGATCCCCACCCCCGCTCGACGCTGGTACCCACTTTGGGCACCCACGCCCAGAACCACCCCTGACCCAGAAAGGGGGGGTAAGCCCCCAGTTTTGCCAAGGGGGCTGCCCACCCCCTGCCCCAAGCCTGACCGACATTCAGCTGCCACATGACCCCTAGATCCCCCAACACCCTTAATGGCAGCCCACCACCCTACCCCTCAAAAATAACCTCAGAGCCCACCAGTACCGATGGGGGTTCCCCACCAACCCCCAGTACCGATGGGGGTTCCCCACCAAACCCCCACCCACCCGTGGGCACCACAGTAGCTCCCTGGTAACCCTGCACCCTGCCCCCCTGACTATGAAACCCAGGCCTTCCCCCAGGACCCCCAATCCCACCTAAAGGGCCCCCCAATGGGACCTACTGCACTTGCCTGTCCTGTGGCAGTCCTCCTTGCTGGCGGCCCCATCCCATGTAGCAGTCCAGGGGGCCCCCGCGCTGAGAGCGGCCTCCGAGGCTCCGGTGCCACGCTGGGAGGTGGGGCCTAAACCACATCTGCACCGTGCCTGTGTACCGGATTGCGCCCCGCTGACATGGGGGCCTCCTGACCCTCGCAGGCCATCTTGCTCCGCCGCTAAAACCGATCCCAGCCGGGCGCAGATCGACACAGTCCCACAGTTCCTCGCTGCCGTCCTGATCCCCTCTAGCATCCTCTCCACCTCATCCATCCTGCAGAAAAGAGAAAAGAAAAAAACTACCAGGCCAAATGAGTGGACACACAGGGTGCACACAAACTCAGCCAGGTAGACAAGTTAAAAGTGATTCTCTTAAGATGGCTGCATACATGGGGCTACATAATGATAAGAAAATTGAAAAATGGTCTGGTCACTAAGGGGATAATACATAAGACAAATGAAAGAACAGTATATTAAAGGGACAAAATAGGCACTCAGACCACTTCAGCTCATTGAAGTGGTCTGGGTGCAATGTTCCTGACATTGGAGCACTAGGACAGCCTCTAGTGGCTGTCTACTAGACACCCACTAGAGTGCTTCTGGTATTTTACTGGATTTTAGGTCACCTCACTGATGCTGAACATTTTCACGCTCTGCATGAGGATATCCAGTGACAGTGAAAACCATGTAGGAAAGCATTGAATCCATTGCCACGCATGTGTATTAGCCCTGCCTGTTGGATGACATTGGAGGAGGCGGAGCACTGACCCAGCACCAAGGGACATCGACACTGGGATTGGGAAAGTGATTATTCGCTAGAGGTGTGCACGAGGGAGTTGGGGTCAAAGGGCTCCATAGTGTTTGGAATACAGTTTTGTATTTGTAACATAGATACCTTTAATGTTTTATGTACTTTAATGGCAATAAAAAAATATTAATAGTGAACAGATAAGAAAGGGAATAGGTGACTCGTATCTGTGAAACTTGGTTTATATGCAATGTTCTATACTTCCGTGTTTAAAAGTCAATAAAGTCCTCTGGGGAACATTAGCAGCATAAGCTAGGATGTGACTAAGTACATCCTAATCCATGATCATATTATCCTCCCTGTCCCCCATTTAACATCTTTTGAGTCAGTTTGATTTAGCTTCTTATTTGGGTTAACTATTTTTAACAATAGTTCAGTTGATCTATTTAACCAGCTCAACCCCCCTTCCCCCACCCCTTAATTTTGTATAAAATAACGCATACAGATACATACACGGACACACATGCTAATACACAGAATGACACAAATTCAGATACACAGAATGACACTTCTACAGATACAAACACTGACAAACATACAGATACACAGACACACATGCGGATACACAGACACACATATAGACACATGCAGATACACATGCACAGAATGTAACGCATACAGAAACAAACAGTGACACACATATAGATACATATGGGCACACCGAGTTAATTATAACACATGCAGATAAACATACAGACACGTGCAGAAAAACAGATACACATACACACATATGCAGACAAACAGATACACAAAGAGACACAAATGCAGATACACAGACACACTTAATGACAAACAAACATTCAGATACACAGAATGATATGCATACAGATATAAACTGTGACACACATACAGATACATAGAGGCACACACTGACACACATGCAAACAGATACACATACAGACATACAGATACCCATACATACAAACAGATACACATACAGACACACATGCACGCACACACACACATACAGATACAGACAGACATTCACACACACACAAACACAGATACAGACATTCAAGCACACACACACACAGATACATACATTCACACACATGCGTACACACAGATACAGACATTCACACACACATACAGACACACGGATACAGACATTCACACACACACACACACACAAACTGTTACAAATTTTAATCACACTCCTGTTTCCTACCTTTAGGTGCAGGAGGGTGACTTCCCTGAGGTCCAGTGGCTGCCTTCGGCTGATGGGAGTCAGAGCTCCCACGCTGACTCCCTACTCTCTACTTGCACGGCTCTCTTAGCTGGGAGGAAGTGACTGCACTCTGACGTCATCACTGGGGCCCGGTCACGCCCTTAAAGCGCCCCAGCAATGACCGGGCCTCAGGTAATTCATTTCCATCGGGTGGCCCCAAGAGAATGGGCCACCCGATGGGCCCGTTCAATGCAGCCCCGGCGGTTGTTCCATGTGGCCAGTGCCGCACCAAAATCTCGGCAGGCACCTGCGACCGCGGTAGTTCTGCCACTGCACCAAGCCCAGAAAAACCAGATGCATATTTTATTACAACTCATTTTTGTTTACATTCCAGTGTTGCTGCTTAAAGAGTTAATTATAAAAGTGGAACTGGACTAAGTGTGGTGCTCTTAGTCCACTAAATATGCAGTGAGTTGTAAAGTGATCCACAATAATGTTTTAGAAGCAAAGCATAAATAATGCAACTGGAATACTATTGCATCCCTATTTATTATTACTACTCTAATGTTTATTACCCATATTCTTACAGTGATGGTGTTTGCATTTAATGATGTATATTGTTTAACACTAGAGAGTGATATATTGCTGTAGAGGTCATTAGTTTGCTGAAGAAATAGGTAAAATAAATACTAAGCTAAAGGTTCACTCTAGTTTGTTGTTAAAATAATCTTTTAATGAATTATAGTGTATTATAATATATATATATATATATATATATATACACACACACACACACACACACACACACACACACACACATATACACATATACACACACACAGACACACACTATAATGCACCATCATCCTTTAATGCATTATAGAGTATATACACACACACACTATAATTAATTAAAAGAAGATGATGCCAACAAAAAACTAGCATGATCCTTTGCTGGTGATTTTGATATCTGAATGCACAGACTATATATGTTTACCTCACTGAAGGTGCCTTGTCATCCATACATTTGTATATGGCAAGCTTAGTATAATAGTATAAGTCTTACAGGCATATTTATGCTGGTCAAGTGCCACAACTAGCGTACAGCCTTACATGTTTGTTAGTCCACCCATTGTAAAGCTCTACGGAATTTGTTGGCGCTATATAATAATAATAATAATATGTAATCCATTTTACTGTCCTGTTCTTTTAAACTAAATGTATGAATTATCAACCTGCTTCTGGATTGAGATGACATAATATAGCCTAATGTATGCTACAATCAAATGGTTGTAAGACTACATGATACAGCTCAAACACTATCCTTTGGATTCACTCCATTTATTATTACTCTAATCAGAGTTAATTATGTTACGCCAGTGCCAAGAAGTTTAGTTACTAAACAAGGATGAAATTCCAGGCAGGTTATAATATATAGAACACACTATCCAATTTAAAAAAAACAAAAAACTCCAACTCTTTGGCCAATGCTTGTGACCTAAGTGGCATTTTGTTGCTCTTCACCATCTGAGACATAATGCTTGGCAGTACTTCTCAAAATATCAGAAGCTGCTTTCACACATGTTTGATGTGAGAAGTTAATGGTCAGCCTAGGTTGATATTAAGGGTACGAGGGTAAAGAATTTAATAACAGTGTTGTAGAGTCTGGAAATGTGTTCATGAGTGCTTCTTGGGTAAAAGAAGGGTTAAATGAAAAATAATGCTTTAATCACTGTAATGCTGCTCCATTGGAAGATAATCTTTGTTTAATTTTATCATACTCTACTTCTATAGACTATGTCTACCTCTCAGCACTGACACGTAATACACAATTTAATCATTAACAAACTGGTCAGATATAATACATGATTCATTGCAAATCCTAGGGTTTATGTCTTTGCACTGTGCCATATGGTATGGTTCTATATAGGAATTGATCTTCTTAGTGCATGCAAGTGAAACAGATCACTCTGATGATCCACTAAGACTTTCAAATGCAATACCAAAATACTAATTTTAAGTTCTATCATTTATAGTCCCATAATTTTTGCAAATGTGCATGTCAAAAAAGTAAGAACCAGACTGGATTCAGAGCGCCAAGACTGTAAAGTCTAAATGTCAATGGTGCATTTTCCTAACAAACCGGCACAAAAAGAACAATGTTTATCTTGTAAAGAATCACAGGTCTCTCGTTTTCAAAAATGTGGTTTAATCACCGTTGCAATAGCCTAGAATTTCAACGATGCTCCTACAGGCATATATTGGTTTGCCTGTAGCCAGTTACCAAATAACGTCAATAACTTTTTATTATAATGAGCCGTGGTTTACAGATCACAAATATAAAGGGATACCCAGTGAGCCTATTGTCATAATGGATTTTAGATGATGTACATGAAGCAATTCTTAAGTGTGTATGCTATTCTCCATGACCTAAACAAGGAGAACCTTTGCTGCTATTGCTGTCTGGAACAGTCTTTGCAATACTATTTCATAGACTACGATTTGGGTTTTGTTTATATAAATATAATAATGACCAATAGCTTTTAAAGAAAAGGGAAACGAGGATGTCTTATAGGCATCATTTCACAATCACTACTAGTGGTTTGCTGTGTTGATACATATATGTACATATGTGGTAATTCCACGCAGAAGCCTGTGCCATGTGTACATATAGATGTTCGTGTAATAAAAATATATATATTTAAAAAAATTAAAAAAAAGAACAGTATGATGGCAGATTGTAAACTGCTTCATAAACATGACTGTGTACATACCTCTAGACGTGTTTTATTAAAAAATTACTTCCAAACAGTTTACTGGATTCACAATGCACTTTTAGCTTGTGTGTTTAGAAATAAGAAATTATTGCTGTAGACATTTATGAAGTTTATGTAACAAATGTTTTACAATAAAAAAAAGTATGTGGTTTAACATTTGTCTTTGTGAGTTTTTGCTGGTTTTGTATATGATCATATTATTAGCATTTATATAGCACCGCCATATTTCACGGCACTTTACAATTACAGAATGGGGATATTTTACATTTATACATATTTGACATACAGAATATAATAAGGGGTAAGAAACTCCCTGCTCAAAAACTTTAAAGAAGGGATATGTTTCCATACATCAATAATCTTTTTACACTGCCAAAATATATGTGTCATAGATCCTTCCATTTCCCCACATCTCCAGCAACCCCCCATGTTCTCTGGATATATTTGTGCCCATTTTTGAGGTGTCATGTAGCAACGTTGCCACATTTTGTAGGTTGCTTCTATGTATTGTATACTGTGTGTGGCAACCTTAGTCGATCTCATAGCCCTATATCACTGTAAGGGCTCCCACTCATTTAATTCCTTGTCCCAGTTTAACATAAAAGGCAGTTTCTCGTGTTTTGCTAGATTTAACATTCCTCTGTAGCTTACTGAGAGAGGCTTAACTTGGGGCCATCTCTCCAAACATAGCCTCCCAAAATCATTCACCCTAGAACTTTCCACCTCTTTCACTTGAAGTTTCATTAAAATATGTTTCACTCTGAGATATGTATAAAGTTCCCTGTTTTGAAGATCGTATTTAATTTGTATGTCTGGGAATTGATGTATATCTGAGCCTGATATTAGATGTCGGGTTTTTGTTAACCCTTTCTTTCTCCATGTTGTTATGTTTAAATCTTTTGTATAGTAAGTTAAACTTTGCAAAGTTTCATAATAAAAATAATTGCCTTTCCCCAGAAGTTTAGGGGCCCCGAACATAGATTTAAGAAATTCCCTGCTCTGGTGTGCTTGTCAATGTTCATGTCATAAAACAGAAAGTTCGTAAAATGAGGACCACCTGTTGTGAAATGGGATGGTAGTTAGAAGGAGCAGTGTCAGTGGCTTTTTTTTAGGATGGAATTGGTGACTGTATGTTTGAGAAAGAGAAAGGCTGAAAATATGCATTAGAGTTGAGTCCAGACTAGGGGAAAGATATTTTAGAAGGTGAGGGGATGGGATCAAGAGGACAGATAGTGGATTGAGAGGGTAGAAGAAGTTTATAGACCTCTTTTTAAAAAAAATAAAAAGGAGTTAGGAGGCAAAGAGGGAAAAGGATGAAAGCCAAGTGTTGGAGGGAAGATGGACAAGGGGAAATTAACCAAATTAGGAATTCAATCTTGTTAGCAAAGTGAAATTCTAAATCAGTTTCCATTGCAGTTAGTTAATAAAGCAGTAAAGTGGCATGTGGAAAACAGTTAAAGACATAAAAAAGGTATTTGGGATCATAAGAGTATGTACAGAAGAGAGGGATAAAATACTCTTACTTGCCAAAGAAGAGGGCGGAACTATGAGAATGCAGCATGAATTTGTAATGTAAGAAGTCAGGTGTGGCACGAGAATATCTCCAATATCATTCAGCAGTAATGAAACATTGTTTGATGCCAGTGTTGAAGGTGTGGCTAACACTGAGAGTGAGCTCTAATTGGTGCAGACAGATCTAAAGCAGTAAACAGGACATAATTGTACTACAAGGTAGCTTGGGAGGGACAGGAGAGAGTTGAGAGGGGAGAAAGGGGAGATTTGAGAGAAGAAGAGAAGTTATTCAGATCAAGAAAGCTAAGATTTCTAATTGCCCGAGCTGAAACAGATTTAAGATATTATGGGGTTCATTAACAGTACAGTATAGAAGATGGTTGTTAGAGAGAGGGAATGGAGACGTTAGAAACAGAGTGAAAGCTGGACATGACATGGTATTGTCAGCTATGTGTGTAAGGGTGTCTATTGAGGCCAAAGGAGGAGGCAATAAGATAGAAATCTAGAGACTACTAAGTTTTTAGGTTGGCTAATAGGGATGCTGATGTCGCCAAAGATGAGGAACGGAAATTCAGAGGAAAGCAAGCAAGGAAGTCAAGCTCAAACATTATCAAGGAGGAGTAGAAGGAAGCCAGGGGCAGTAGATTAATGCCTACACAAAAGAAAATCATGTTAAAATAAAGTGAAAACTGCAAAACAACTTACTTTAACAGAACATTAATGGTCATACAGCAACCCATCTTCAGAATTAGAAGGATCATATATGATTCTGTATGTAGTAAACCACAACAAAGAAAATTCGAGATATGGCTGTGTGAATCTACAGAAAAAACATAAAACAAAACATGGTGTGATATTGTTATAAAACACAGTATTCTGTGCGCAGCAATCTTTTTCACTCACTAGATGTAGACAATATAAGCGCTCTCAGGGTGCCTCCCCCGATGTTATCATATAATATATATAAACTAAAAAGGGTAAACATGTGCTTAAGTAAATATGTAAAACCCCCATTAATAAATAACACTTGGATTGGTAATATATAACCATGCAATATATATATATATATATATATATATATATATGTATGTATATATTGCATGGTTATATATTACATGGTTATATATTAGCAATCCAAGTGTTATAATAGATTTTCTCACCCCTCCTGGGTGGTATGTTATTCCTCTTTCTCAGGTCCTCTACCAGAGGCCTGGGAGTTTGACTGTTTTGCGCAGTATCTAGAACTGCACTATTCTGGACAGCGATCTCAGATGTCCCACCTGGAATCTGTTGAAGCCACTCCCCCAACTTGGGAGTCACAACAGGGACTACTACTGCCTTCACTTTCCACATTCCTTTCTAGTTCTTTTTTCAGTCCTTGGTATTTGTCCATCTTCTCATGTTCCTTTTTCATGATGTTATAGTCACTGAGTATTGCCACATCTACCTATCGTTCCTTGTCTACCACCACAATGTCTGGTTGGTTGTCCTACAGGATCTTAGCCCTGTCATTCTCAACTACCCTTTGTGGTACCTCTCATCTGGACTTAGGCAGGTCCAAACCATATTCTGTGCAACTTGGTTGTTTCTCTCCGTGTATGCTGTTCCTGCTAACATCTTGCACCCGGCTACTAGGTGCTGGACTGTCTCAGAGGCTTCTTTCAACAGTCTGCACCTTGGGTCTTGCCTGTTGTGGTAGACTCCAGCTTCTATTGATCTGGTGCTGAGTGCCTGCTCCTGTGCTGCTAGGATTAGTGCCTCAGTGCTGATTTTCAGTCCTGCCATTTCCAACCACTGGTAGGATTTTGTCATGTGAGCGAAATCCACTATCTGCCAGTGGTTCACCCCATGGAGAGGTTTGTCTTGCCAAGGAACCTCCTCTTTTTCTGCATCCTCGATCTGTGGATGTCTCAGGTATTCCCTTAGCAGTTCATCTTTGGGAGCCATCTTCATGATGTACTTGTGGATGCTCTGTGTTTCATCCAGCACCGTGGCCTTGGCACTCATCAGGCCTCTCATCATTATATATATATAAATTGTACTTAAGCAATATTTAAAGTGCTAACAGTCTAAATAGTGCCCAATATATAATATTGCACTAAATCACAATAAAGTGTTAATTTGTTGTACCCCTTTAAAAAAAAAAAATAATTATAAAAGCTTGTGTATTTTTACTACCATGATACAATAAATAGTAAAATGTGATTATGACAAAAAAGCTGTATATCAAATGAATAATACCAGTTCTTCTGATTCATTCGAGACAATAACCAGTTTTTTTTACCTCTAAAGCAAAAACAGAAAGCATATAGTGCATAAAGTCCAATAAAATAGCCAAGAAATGTAATAAACCTGTAAAGCTTCTAGTGGAAATGGCAACCACAATGTGGCTATGGTTTTTAAGCAGTGGATTCTTCAATAGGTGACCCCCTACCCCTACAGGGTTCAGGCAGAAGAAATATAGAAATGTATACAGTGTAAAACCTTAATAAATTATAGTCAAATAAAACATACAGAATTGCACTCAGGAGCATTGAAATTTGGCTCACTGAAATAGTTCTGGTGTCTGTTTTCCAGTTGGCACACTCCCCTCATAGTGCTTCCAAATTCTGGTATATAAAATGATTCCACAATCCAGAATCCTACTTGGATGTACTTTATTAACCCAAAAATAATAAGAGGAACAATAAGTGCTAAAAGAGCTCACAAAATCTCTGAAATGAGTTTCACCCTATAATATAAGGCATGTTCCAAGCCTCTTCTTCCTGAATAATCCATTCATTATCCATGATAATGGATGCCTAACATCAAACATCTCCTTAAGATATGGGACACTTGCAGAGATAAATTATGTTCAGCATATCCATGGGCTCTAGCAACCCCAATCAAAATCTTATTTCACTGCAATGGTACATTTCCATATGAGAAATGGGAGAAAGCTGGGATCACACACTTATTTCATCTATGTAACACAGAGAGTCTTAAATCTTTTCCGGATCTTCGAGAGGAATTCACACTTCCCCTTAACTTCACATTCGCATACCTCCAAATTAAAGCAATGATCACTGTGAATAAGATCCAAATAATGAAACAGTCATTACAAACGTCCATCACAAAGTTTGAAGCACAATGCCTATAGATATGCCCCCTAAAAAAGACATTAGCTATATGTTACCTCACAATCGCTAATCCTGACGCGAATGATAAATGGAAATTCATGCAAGATTGGCAGGAAGATTTCCAAGTTAATATCTCTCAGATAGAGTGGGAACAGATTTTTACTGTCCATAATGGATTAACAACTAGAACCGCTCATTTCGAAGCAGCACAGAAAATTCTTTACAGGTGGTACATGGTACCATCAAGACTACATTCCATGTTCACCGCAACGTCGGACATGTGTTGGCGATGTCACACAACTAAAGGTACCATGCTACATATCTGGTGGACATGTAAACGAGTGAACTCTCTGTGGAAGGACATCATAAAAGTGATAAAACAAGTCACTAATTTTCAGCTACCTCATGAACCAAAAATAATACTCCTTCGATTACTCCCAGACAATATTT